TTTTGTATTCAGTCTCCAGGGGGCAAGACTTGGCATACCAAGAACACGCTTGATTCTTTCTTGTAGGCAGATCGCTGGCAATGTCTCCTCCACGCTTCACAATGTATTTCAAGCAAGGAAAAAGAAAACGTCAACATAGTACACAACTCAAATTTACAAATATTTTGATTGGTATTTCAAGCACGAGAGCTTGCAAGATCATGGAGTTTTGAGCATTTGTATAACATAATCTTGCATCCATGAGCTGGACAAATGGCTTAGTTTTGACGCTCAGCAAGTCCAAGACTGCACGAAGGCAATCATCATTTTGAGCAGCCATATCTAAAACCTTTTGAACTTAAAAAACTAAATTACACAACTATAAAAATTCTACCCTTTATTTTTATAGTATAACTTCATGGTACTTGGCATTCATGATCATGAGTGGAGCCAAATCCGTAGCAGACTGGAACAAGTTTAAGAGGTGATTTCTTTGCAACTGTTAGACCAGCATCCTCTTCCATGTCCACATCTTCTTTCATTCCATCAGGCAATTTCCAATCAAAACAAAGTAACAGATTAGCCAATATCAACTCCACCGTAATGGCCCCCATGTTCACACCAGGACAGCTCCTCCGACCAGCTCCAAACGGTAATAACTCAAAATTCTGCCCTCTGAAATCCACACAGCTTTCCATAAATCTCTCTGGCAAGAACTCTTCTGGGTTACTCCAAGAATCCGGGTCTCGTCCGATCGCCCAAACGTTGACATGAAGATGAACCATTGGAGCAATATCGTAACCATTGAGCTTGAAATGAGACATGGTTTCTCTTGGAAGGAGAAGTGGGGCAGGCGCATGCAACCTCAAAACCTCCTTCACTACCATTCTTAGATATTGAAGCTTTTCCAGGTCGCTCTCCTTCACTTGATCTTCTTTTATGCAACTTCTAATCTCATATTGTAGCTTCTTCATTACCCGTGGATTCCTAATCAGCTCTGCCATTGCCCAAATTATGGTGCCCGCTCCTGGGTTCACTCCAGCTATAAATATATCCTAATTAAACCGCACACATCCTCAGCTTCAATATTAGTTGGAAAACTAAAACAAGAGGTGCTCTTTAATAACCATTTAATTTTCTTATATTTAGTTATTGGACTTTCTTTTTTGAAGAACAGGGGATTCGGTAACCAAAATGATGATCAAGGGTCTAAAAAACAAAAACAGAAAATAGAAAAATAAAAAACCATAATGATGATCAGAATCGGTTTGAAGCTATGTCTGCCTTATTATCTTGAGCTTACCATGATAATTGCCTTGATGCAATCTCTAGTGAGTTGCAGAGCATCAGATTCAGAGCGCTCTCTCTCCATTCTCAACAAAACATCAATAATGTTTTCATTTTCAGAAGTCGCCATGAAGTTGATGCGATCATCAACTACATGTTGGAGAAAAGCATCCAGCTCAGCAAAGCTCTTCTCCAACCTCCCATGAACACCACTGACCCGATCAATAATCCAACCCACTGTGGGAAAGAAGTCAGTCACTGAGAAGCTTGCCAATGCTGCTATTGCTCTACGGATAACCTCGTGAAAATTTCCATTATCTAGCTCACCCCCTCTAAAGCTCTTGCCAAATGCAATCCGGGTCATTATGTTTGCAGTGAGAGTATAAGATTTCTCGCTCAGATCAACTGGAGCAGCAGAAGATGACGATTCAAAGAGGGACTTTAACAGCAAACCGACTTCTTCTTCTCTAATAAGCTGAAACGACTGTACCCGCCTAGCACTGAAAAGCTCAAGCACACTAATCTTTCGAACTTCCCTCCAATGATCACTATATGGCGATAAACCTATGTCTAAAAAGTTGTATGAAAATCTTGCACTGGCGGCTAAGCGAGGCCGGCTGCAACAAGCAAGATCATGCACTTGTAACACCTCTCTTGCAGCAGCAGCAGAGGAGATTACGATGGTTGGAATAGAGCCCAGTTTGAGGAGCATTACGGAGCCATATTTTCTTGAAAGTTTCCACAAAGAGCGATGGGGGATGGAGCCGATGAGGTGCAAGTGACCCAACAGTAGGGAAGCCAACAGCAAGAGCAGAGAGACCCAGATGGAAAGGCTATGCATCATCTGATCTAAGTTAAACATTTTGGATTTGTTGGTATTGAAATTTAGCGACTTGATTGATAAAGGCTGCAACTTTCAAAGTCCACGGAGACAGAGAGAAGCTTATTGTAGGTTTCATATATTGATCTTTTTTTTTATTTGATTTATTGCAGTATTTATTACTGGATAACAGAGTTGGAGAGAAACGAAAATGTATTATTGTGAGTAATCATCTCTCATAAAAAATATGGTACAGTTAGTCAGTGTAAAAACAATTAAGTTTGTATCATAACAAACTATCTAACTACCATATCAAGATTAATTGAACTTTAGTTAACAAACTATAGTTAACTGTAATAATATTGAAATCTCTCTTAATAATGGATGATTATACATATCTTTATTGACTTTTTGGTCATTAAACATGTGATGTGATTAATCCCAATTTTGGTAGGTTGTAGATGCGAAAATGAGGATTTCAATGGCAAAATTTCTTGGCTATGTGATCAATCTTCTTTTACGCAACTTTTGATCTCATCTAGAAGCTTCTTCATCTTTCTATCTAGCTCTGCCATAGCCCAAACATGGTGCTTGCTCCTATCTCCTGGTTGGAAATAGTTTCAATTTGATCCTAATACTGAGAAAAGCTTTAATTTGGGTTGCTATAGTTTGTGTATAACATGGTTTGTATAATTGAAAAGTTATTTTTGTCCATAACTTGAAAACTCCTCAAATTAAACATATCCTAATTTAATATAGTCTCTGTCAGATAGTGGGGTATGTGTCAAAAAGGCCTTCTAGGATTACCAACATATAGTTTGGGACTTTTAAAGTGAATTTTCTGGTATGGCCGTGGTAGTTGAGAGATTTAGTTATAATCCATAAGGAGTCTTTTGGGTGATTATATATTTTTCTTGCGTTCTTTTACTTTCATCGCAGTTTCTGCTTACCAGTCCCATTCCAATTTCTACCTTCAAGAGGAATCCCATGTCATCACTTAAAGCTCAATGGCTATGAAATCACCTCTAAACCATCTACACATTAACATTGGGGCAATTGAACGAGGTCCAAATTAAGTGACAAATCTGGAAGAGGTTTTCACGGAGAAGAAAAGTTCTTCCGAGAGAGGTTTTTCTACAGCTCTGTCAACTTCCAAAACTTTAAGCTATGGCGATTTGGGATGAATATGAGCATAAAATTCGATTGAGCTCACATTTGCAAATCTTACGGATCGTTTGGATTAGAAATTTCCTAATAGAATGTTGTCAAATGGGAAGTTGGTCTAAGATTCCCAAGAAAGCAGCTCTAAAACTTATTCCAGTCAAATACCAGCAGCGATCAAAGCAACTTGAGGTTTTTGTCTAATTTAGAAAGCCACATGAACCTAAGTCTGATTAATTTGGAAATTCTAGATATCTGCAGAAATAAGAGAATCTCATATATAGAAAGGAACTAACATTGTATTGAGTTCACTGTCATCACAATTGAAATTTCAAGGATTTGCTTGCAGAAAATATCACAGAAGGTAGAAATATTATTCATCTGATCCAATCATATGAACAAACATTTATATTAGAAGAATAGGAGAAGCAACAGAACATCATTGGCAAATTCTAACTAGTTAATAATATAGAAAGCGAAATTACGAAAAGTTTGTTGAATGATTAACCGAAAACATGGAGTTCAACCTTTCTAATTGTTGTGAAATTTTATTATGATTCACCGGAAACTCAATAACAGATGGAATGTGAAGGAGATTTTACGAACCTTGAAGACGTGAGGAAATTTTGCAGTGCGCAGGACCAAGCGTCGTTTTCTTGGACGATGGTGATATGACAAATGAGGAACAGGCCCAATAATGCAATTATTTAGGGCTCCCAAATTGGGCCGCCGCTGATAGCTGAGAGACGAGCCTGTGTTCGTCTTCACAAATACAAATTAAAAATAATTTAAGTTCCGAGTGTGAGAATTGAGAATTTTGTCTTGTTCTTCTGACCGTCACTGAATATTTGACATCTAAAAAATATATGAGATGGAAACCAAAATAGCAACATTATCAAAGATGGAGACAAAGAAGACATCTCCACCACTCTACCAAGTTTCCAAATTCCATCTTTATTTCCAGTCCTTTTTATTTTTGTTTTGTTTCTTTCTTTATTTCTAGTTATGGAAAGTTTCAATAAACGAGTAAATTCAAATATTTCTTTTTTTTTTCATTGACAAAGTAAATTCAAATCTTTCTAGACTAACCAAAAAAAACGAAAAACTATAGAGAGACTTACTAGTCAATTCAAATGTTTTTTTTCTTGTTTTTAATGCGATAATTTAAAGGGTATAATTATAATATAAATTGAAATCTAAGTGTTTACCAACTTAAACATAGTTGAATTGATTAAGATATACTTCTTTAACTTTTGTTTGGAAGTTTGAATCTCCATCCCGACATATTAAAAAAAAAACAAAGTATATTTGAGAAAATATGACAAATTTTGAAGTATTATCATTGTCTGAACTAATATTATATGAGTTTGATGGATAAAAAAGTAAGAATAGGAAAAATTTTGTTGATAGTGGAGGAGTGGAGGATCAAATCACACTTTTTATATCTCAAACTCCTTAAACTAAATGCATGATTTCCCTTTCCTATGATTGTACTTATTATATTATATGAAGTTTTAATAAGTCTTATTATTAAGATCATTAGTTATATTATATGAAGTTTTAATAAGTCTTATTATTAAGATCATTAGTTAGATATAGTATATTGATTGGATTAATAAGGTGCCAAAGGATTAATAAGTTGATTTGGCACCGTATATGCAGAAGTGAATACACTAGTCCTAGTTAAGAGTAAGTGGATTATATAATTATTCAATTTAAAATGTATCCATCTTTTCATTGAACTTTTATTTAGTCTTTTACCATTGGCTAGTCCTCCAAATCAACCTTTCACAGCAATGACACTAGAACTAAAATATAAAATTTAGAGTTTTGTTAATGTTTTCATCTCTTGTTTCTCATTTTTTGAAAAAATAGATGTGTTTGATAACGAATCATGTTTCTCGTTTCTAAAACTTTTGAGAAACGTTCTTAAAAGAGAAACCAATTTTGTGATTGGACGATGTTTGAAGTTAAATAAAATATCTGGATAAAAATAAACAATGACCTAGTGGTGGCCGTGTATCTTTGATTCCATCCTCTTGTATCAAGTCCATGGATCAATTTGGTATAGAAACACGAAATAGCTGGTACCAAATATGATTAGCATACATATACCGGGAAACAGAACGTTAACAAATGGAGAAATTTAACCGAAAACGTACTAGAGCATCAACATTCTACCCCCTCAAATTGTACAAATTTGACCCACTTTTTTATTTGAAGTATTCGACAGGAATAAGATGAAGAGGCGATTTCTTGGTGACCGTCAGACCAGCATCCTCTTCCACGTCCAAATCTTCTTCTTTCATCCCTTGCGGCAATTTCCAATCAAAGCACAGCAGCATATTAGCCAGCGCCAGCTCCACCGCAACGGTGGCCATGTGCATCCCCGGGCAGCTCCTCCGGCCAGCTCCGAACGGCAACAGCTCAAAATTCTGCCCTCTGAAATCGATGTTGCTTCCCACGAATCTCTCCGGCAGGAACTCATCCGGGTCGGTCCACGATTCCGGGTCCCGCCCGATGGCCCAAACATTGACGTGGAGATGGGCTTTGGGTTCGATGTCGTAGCCGCCGAGCTTGAAATGGGACATTGTTTCTCTTGGAAGGAGGAGTGGGCCCGGGGGATGAAGCCTCAGAACTTCTTTGACCACCATTTTTAGATATTCGAGTTTTTCGAGGTGGCTCTCCTTCACTATTCCATCTTCTTCTTTTATGGAGCTTCTGATCTCGTCTTGTAGCTTTTTCATAACCCTTGGATTCCTCGCCAGCTCTGTCATGGCCCAAACAATTGTTCCGGCTCCCGTGTCCACTCCGGCTATAAATATATCCTAATTAAGACGCACACAAAAACTAATAAATATAAAAAATACAAAAAGTTATATATATGTTTTAGTTTTTATTCTTTCAAAGATTCATTTTAGTCTTAAGATTTTTCAATAGAGGGAATTAGGTGAGTTAATTGGAGGGAAATTTCTAATTCCTTCCCTAAACGTGGACAGAAATTGAGATTTTTAATTTTCCTCTAAATTTCTATCAAGTATTATTATATGCCGCATAAACTTAATTACCCAACAATCACATCAAATATCTACCGATAAAAATGATATAAATTGAAAAACATTAAAAAAAATTTAAACTAAAGCACGTATATAAAAAACATCCAAATTGTTTGATTAATTAAAACATATATTTGCCAAAACGAATATATACTAAATGGTAATTGACATAATTAGATTGTGAGTTCCATCTCCACTCGTATTAAAAAAATTTAAAACATGAATTAAAACATGTACGTAGGAAAAACATAGATGCAGTGAATTGGTTTCGACAGATTTTGAACAGGGAGGAGCAATCTAATAAATATATTTAACCACTAAGAAGAGAGAGCAATCTAATAAATCTCATATATGCTATAAAATGAAGCTTTTTACCATGGTAAGTGCCTTGATGCAATCTCTAGAGAGTTGCAGAGCATCAAATTCAGAGCGCTCTCTCTCCATCTTCAACAACACATCCAAAATATTGTTGTCATCATCACAAGTCGCCCCAAATTTGAGGCGGTGGTCAATTACATGTTGAAAAAAAGAATCCAACTCC